GGTTCAGGAATTGATCAATGGAGTTCTGATAAGCTGGTAGAGTAGTGACCACTTACTGTTTAGTCACAAACTCAAGATTCAAATTTCTATTGGTTGCCTTCTCAATACAGACTTAAAGGTGCTTCTCATCAGGCCAAAGACATCTCTGTTCAATCTATCTCTAGCTCTCTGGATAGAGAAAAAAATGTTCATGATTTTTAAAACAAATCTATAGCTTTTGTTAGGACTCAAAGATGTGAGTCTACTTTAGCTATTTTACAGACACCTGTTACCTGAAATTTCTACAGTGTGGATTTCAGGACAGATTACTTTTATGTCTTTTTGTAAAATAAAAAAAATCATGTAAGCTTCAGAAAATTGAGGGAGTCATAAGACTTGGATTCATTTCTCATGATCAAAAGGACTCCAGATAAGTACAGGCTACATTTTCACATTTCCCTACCTGTCTATTCCTGAGGATGGGATAGCTCTCTCTCTCTCTCTCTCTCTCTCTCTCTCTCTCTCTCTCTCTCTCTCTCTCCTGGTCTTAGGATTCTTCCCTTCCATCAATTACTAGAACTGGGCCTGAAAGTTCCAAATGTAAGATTTTACTTTAAGTTCCTAAATTTTAACTTTTGTCTCTAGTCTATATCTGCTTCAGCAGTTTTCACTTGGCTGACAGACACATCCAAGCATCAACTGCTGACTACAACCTGCTCCATATAACTGCAAACCCTGAACTTGCTGAAAGCTGATGTGGACCAGTCTAGCCGATGTGATTGCTCCCTATCTCTTTAGCTGGGCCAGATAACCAGATACTTCTGATGAATGCCCTGCTGCCTAAAGCCCCTCCTTGCCTTTGACTAGCATTCCAGGCCTCCTGGGCCCTGACAACAACATCCTATTTTCAGCAGGAAGTAGTTACAGAAGACAGTCACCCCCTGTTCCCCCAACAGGCTCGAATGTTAGATCAAAAGGAAACTCACTGGCACAGGAGACAAAATAGCAGTTGGTAGTGCCTATTGGCATTACCAGGAAAGGTATCTGTTAAAACCAAGTAGACCCAGATCAATCAACAGGAAGATTCATTAGCTGAAATAGTTCTATAGTATAATAGGATACTCAACCTGCTCTATGCAAAACAGAGAGGTTATTGTATAGCTTTAAGAGAAAGTTGTTTTTATGTAAACCATTCAGAAATCATTAGAAATAATCTGGCTGTACTTGGAAAAAATTATTGTAATAAAGGGGACCTGAGATAAAGTAAATAATTGGTCCCCATTCTCATATCCAGGTTCCTTCTAGATAGTAACTCTGATGTCATCCATCACAGGGCTTTTAGCCTTTCTACTTCTGCTAATTGCTTTTGGCTCTTGTATCATTGGTGCCTTAACTAAATGATAATGGTTATTAGATCCCAACATAAATTGGTACCCTTCAAAGAGTCAAGGATTTGACTCAGAAAACAACTCAAGGGGAGAATGTAAGAGCCAAAGTTAAAATTTAAGTTTTAATTACTATGCCTTAGAGATCATGAAACAAAAATGCCTCTGGTCTGCAAGCCCAAAAACAGACAGTTCCTGAAATGCCAGAGTCTATTGTTTATAGGAGGTAACAAGTCACATGTTTTCACTCCCCTAAATAAGTTTGTTTGACCCATCTGCACTGGATGTGCTTGATCACATGTGGGTGGGAGGTTCACAGGCAGGAAATATATCAGAATGTACACTACCCCTGATTGGATGTAGGCTGGAGTAAGTCAGGATGTATGCTTGCCCCTAATTGGACCTGATGGAAATACTTAAGCCACTGTAAACTTATTTGAGGACATCTTCTGGAAACCCAGGGATGGACCCTTTAGCAGACCTATGCAGATCTGTCTGCAAGACCTGGGATTTGAAAACCTGAAGGAATAGGGTGGACTACAGTCTAATGCTGTAGACCACTTTCCTTCCGTTTTAGTGGACTTTACACATGAATGTAACAAAGAAAGCAATGATCCCAGGAAGGCTGTTTGAGTTCAGAAAAACATGTAAATAAATGACAGTAGCACATATTAAATATTAATAGAGCGGCCCTTTCCCAGAACTTTCTCAGAACAGACCAATGTAAACACAATTGCTTGTCACATATTATAGATTGTATCAGAGAAATTATGAATGCAAGACAGAGGCCATATCCAGATTCAGGGTACACCTTCACCAGATTGGGTTCTATGGCTATGTTCCGACATCCAACAAGAATAAACATGTCTTGTAAGTTGAATGTAATGTTTAACGCAAGAGACACGAAATCACGTCCAAGAACAATCCAGGGGACAAAATGCACCTGAGGTAAAGAGGCCCTCTGCCTTTTTCCCTGGAGCTTCTCACAGTTCCCCAAGGCATTGTCCACCATGCATCATTCTTTTGACAGTGTCCCGACAGACACCCTCTTCTGGTCTCATCAGGTACCCATAATCATGTGCACATACTCACACACAGACATACAGGTATATAACTAAAAAAATGCCATCCTTAAAATTCAAACAGGGGTTGGAGAGATGGCTCAGCACTCGCTGCTCTTTCAAACCTACGTTTAGTTCACAACATCCATCTGGCAGCTCATCACTGTGATTCGAGTTCGAGAGGATCTGACTCCCTCTCTGACATCTGTGGGCCCTGGGCACATGCATGGTAAACAGACATACATACAAGCAAAACACTCATACACAGAAAATAAAAGTTAAAAAAAAAAAAAACTCAAACAAACCAAAACATGGGTTCTCTCTTTGCCCAAGCATTTTCTTTTCATTTTTCTTTTTTTTAAAGATTTATTTATTTATTATGTATTCAGTGTTCTGCCTGCATACATGCCTGCACACCAGAAGAGGGCACCAGATCTCATCTCTATAGATGGTTGTGAGCTACAGCTACCATGTGGTTGCTGGGAATTGAACTCAGGACCTCTGGAAGAGCAGCCAGTGCTCTTAACCACTGAGCCATCTCTCCAGCCCCCTGGCCAAGCATTTTCATGCCTGACTGTCACCTTTGAGGAAGTCAGTCAAACAGCACAGATTTGTCCATCTCAGGGTGTTCCCTGAGTTCTGTTCAAAATGATGAAAAATCAGGAAAGAGCTTGCTCGCATGTGTGGCAGCGTCTCTGCATGCTGGAGCACCAGGTCCCATTATGTGGGCTCCCAAAGAGGTTAAATGCTCACAGAGAGAAAAAGACTAGGTTTTAGCCGGGCATGGGGGTGCACGCTGGTAGTTCCAGAGCTTAGACCATGGAGCAGGCAGATCAGGGGGCAAGGAGGACAGTCTGGGTAACTTAATGAGACCCCGTCATAAAATTAAAAGATGGAAGCCAGGCAGTGGTGGCGCACGCCTTTAATCCCAGCACTCGGGAGGCAGAGGCAGGCGGATCTCTGTGAGTTCGAGGCCAGCCTGGGCTATCAAGTGAGTTCCAGGAAAGGCGCAAAGCTACACAGAGAAACCCTGTCTCGAAAAACCAAAAAAAAAAAGACGGCTGTGTATGTAGCTCAGTGGTACAGTGGTTGCCTAGCATGCATGAGGCCCTGGGTTCAATACTCAGCAGTACACACACACACACACATACACACACACACACACACATACACACACACACACACACACACACATTAATTTTCAAATGCAACTGAAATTTAGGCAGGCCTTAATGAAACAAAGGTACCTCATCTCTGCTTCAAGGGTACTGGCTAGGGTGGCCCATCAGGCTCAAGAGATCTGCTTCCAAGATGGTCTACTGACATTCAGGCAGGCTGGGGCTGCTGGATGGGAGCTCGACAAGATAAGGATCAGAGACCCCAGCCCCTCCCTCTTCCTAGGCTCCTTTACTGGCTGATCACAGGGCATGGTGTCTGGGTTTCCAGGGTAGGTAACCCGAGAGATGGGAAGCCGAAGTTGGGTTCCTTCTATTGGCTGAGCAATGATGGAGCTCAGGGGGAGGAAACAGTGCTCACCTCTCTATGGTAGAACACCAAAGAGTGTACAGACATGTTTTGGGTTTTTTGGGACAAAGTCTCTCTATGTAGGCTTAGCAGTCCTAGGACTTGCTATGTAGGCCAGGCTGCCCTTGGATTTACAGAGATCCACCTGCTTCTGCCTCAGGAGAGCTGGGACTAAAGGCGTGTGCCACCAAGCCTGGCTATAGACACGTTTTTAAAGGGTTGCTGTGGGGATTAGCTCATGTTATGTATGAAGTCTCAAAGGGAACCTTTACTAAAAGACATGGTGTAGCCAAGTGACCACAGTAGCAATCCAGTGACAAACAGACAACTGTCATTGTTGCTGCCTCGGGGACTTTGCATGCGCTCTTCCCACACCTCCCTCAGGCCTCTGTTTCAAATGTCTGCACCTTAGAGAGCCTTCCTGCTTACCCTAGCCCCTAGTCCTGCTCTTCAGTCCTCCTCCATCTGACATTATGTGAATACTTCCCCTTCCTTCGTTCCTCTTCTTTCTTTTTTTAAAAGCCGTTTATAAAGATTGAGTGTCATAGAGCTCAGGGCTAGGCTCAAACTTGCTTTTTTTTTTTTTTTTTTTTGAGATATGTTTTTATCTTATATTGCATGCATGTCTGTGCCGCATGTGTAGGTCATGCTCTCAGAGGTCAGAAGAGGTTGTTTGATCCCCTGGAACTGGAGTTAAAGATGGTTATGAGCATCCATGTGGGTGCTGGGAACTGAACCCCAGTCCTCAGGAACAGCAACCAGTGCTCTTAACCACTGAGCCATCTCTCCAGCCCTCCATCTTGCTATTTGGAACTGCTACACTTGCCTCCACTTCCCAAGTGCACACACCACCAGATCCAGCTAATCCTTGGTCTTTCTAGGTTCAAGGTAATCCCTGACTTTGTGGCTGAAGGAACTGAGCCTGGGAGAGAGGAATGACTCGTCCAAGGTCACAGAAACAGCCTAGATCTGAAGTTTCCTGGCATTATGGGTGGAATGACAGAATCTCCCCTACCCAGCTCCAGCCGCATGTCAGTCCCTGGCCACTTACCCTGAGACATCCCATGTAGACATTGAAGAGGAAAAACAGGTGCCTCATTCCAGGGGCAGGAGGTGGCACAGAGAACCAGCTCAGAAGCAAGCAGATTGCAGTGGGAATTCTATCTTCGGCCCTTGTCTGTCTGGGTGACCTTGGGCAAAATTCTGCATCTCTGAGCCTTGGCCTTGCGGCAGACAGATGCTCTGGGTGAAGGGTTACTTGCTGTCCAGGGGACCCAGCCAGGTTCTTCTTGCCCTGTAGGTAATGAATCCTCCTGGCTGGGAGGTATTCTGTAGACTTGGATGACTGGCTGAGAGGATTACCACACCATGCAGGGGCGCCAATGCCTGTTTCAACAGGACCGGCCCTGCTTGCTTAGAGATTGCTCAAGGATGGATCTAGGTCATGTGACTTCAAAAGAGGCTTCAGGGGCAGCTTTGGTGAGATGAGAGCCAAGCTCATCAACCCAGCACCCCCTCCCTTCTAAGGGTCCTTCCCATACCCAACAGGAAGTTACCTGTGGTTTCTACTGGCCTATGTTAACCTTTCCTTTCACTGGGTCACCCCCAGCCCCCCTTTTCTTTTTTAAAAACTTGGAAACATAATCTCCTTCACACTTTAAGAGCCAGGGATTATGTCCTTAGCGCACAATGGAATATTTCACAGGCCCTTCAGGGATCTAGCTGGAGGAGTTACGTGTCTATGTGTCTAGTTCTTTTTTTTTTTTCTCTGTGTAGTTTTGTGCCTTTCCTGGAATTCACTTTGTAGCCCAGGCTGGCCTCGAACTCAGAGATCTGCCCAGCTCTGAGTGCTGGGATTAAAGGCGTGCGCCACCACCGCCCGGCTTGTATCTAGTTCTTGCTCTCCCTCCCAGGGAGTGGAGACCCTACCCTCCCTCCCCACCTCGATCCCTGGTGTCCCCTGGGGGCTTCCAGAAGCAGAAGTGACATTGGTGGGCTCCTCTGAGCTGAAGCATCTCTCCTTCCAGAGAGTTCCGTGCAGCTCAGCACCCTAACCCCGTCCAGTGTCTCTCCGGGGCTGGACTCACTGTTCGTCTCCTTGGGCCCACACGGTCCCTTCATTCCACAGATGGACTCAAGTGTTTCCTGGGCTTTCCATATCATCTCCTACAGGCCCTCTGACCCTGCTTGTCTCCCATGCCAGGCCACTGACTAACACGTTGCTCAATCTAGTGGCCCTCGGCCTGGTCTTCCTAGCCAGTGAATCCCAAGCCCGAGTTTGGAAATGTCTTCATTCTCTGACCAAGGGCCTGAGCCTTGGTACATTACTAGTCACTGCCGTTACTCCCTCACTGGTCTCTGGCCCTTTCCCTTACTGAACCTTCCCAAGAGCCACAGAGGGAGCTTATGCTTTGTTGTAGCATGGGTTTTAGAGGATGTGTGTGTGTGTGTTTGTGTGTGTGTGTGTGTGTGTGTGTGTGTGTGTGTGTGTGTGTGTGTGTGTTGTGCTTGAGACAGGGTCTTATGTTCATATATATATATATGCTACACACACACACACACACACACACACACACATACACACACACATACACTAAATCTGGTAGCACAACTTCTGGACCTCTCTAAGTAGCATCCGGGGTACCTCCAGGAGCAGGTAACTCCAACCCAGGCCTCCAAATCTGCCCTTGAAGTCTGCCTGGGAGCCTTTATCCAAACCCTTCCCAATCCACGGAAGGACTGGAGTCCAGAGCCCCTCAGGAAGTGGCTCCTCAGTACAGACTCAGTCCTCTGATCTTGGCTAGCCGGGTGACTCAGCAGGGAAAGTCTTGTCTCCAAGACTGATGACTGAGTTTGCTCCCTGGGTCCTACACGGTGAAAGGAGAGAACCATTTCCTTTTTTTCCGAGACAGGGTTTTTCTGTGTAGCCCTGACTGTCCTGGAACTCACTTTGTAGACCAGGCTGGCCTCGAACTCACAGAGATTCAAAAACTGGTTCTTAGTGGGTTGCCCTCTGACCTCCACACGCATTGTAGTACGTAAGCACTCAAATCCATGTAAATAAATAAACAAACAAACAAACAAATAAAATCAATTCTCTCTTCTCTCTGGGCCATGACTCACTCCTATACCAAGTGGAATGAACTTCAACCTTTTTTTGGATCAGGGGTCTGGGCTGGGTTGGGGATTCTCTGCCAATGCCTGAAGGAAACCGAGTGACAGGGAAATTCTGGTCTTAGGTCATAGGAGGGCCTTGAGGGATGGATGAGGTCATGGGTCTTTTCTTTCCCCTAAAGCAGTTTCTAACCCCCTTCAGTGACAATTGTTCCAGGCAAGGGACACTGAGGACATTGAAACCTGGGATGAAGTTGCTGGGGATTGAGACAGTCACACGAGATTCAAAGCAAAGGATCACCTTACCCTGGGAAGATCTGGTGAGTGCCAGGTGCCACGAACAGTGGTGAAAGCTGACACTGCACATCTCCCGATTTTATCTGTCACCAGATAAAAGGAGGCGGGAGGACCTGCCCAGTAAGCGCAGGGTGCAGTTCGTGATACTTGCCATCTGTCAGAAGGCTGAGCCTGGAGGAGGGCTGCACAGGCCAGGCCTACTGGGGCTATCTAGTGAGACCCTGTCTCAAGAAAAAAAGTAAAAATAGTAAGAAATAAACCAAACCACTAAAGAACTGTAACAGGGATGGTGGTGGCCAGGGGACGAATTGAAAGTCTGGGAAAGACAGAAGACCGATCTGCGTAGAAGATGGGGGGAGGGGCGTATACATTTAATCCCAGCACTTGGGAAGCGGAAGCAGGGGGATCTCTGAGTAAGAGGCCAGCTCCAGGATGACCTCTTGTCGCTGTCAGCTCCTTGCAGAAGCCTGGGAAGAAATCTATCCCCCTCTCTAAAAAGAAACTGGACCACAGCCTCCCTCAGCTTGTTCTACCTACCATCCCTGGAACAACATCCCTACCTGAGCTGAAGCCTGGATCAGACTGAATGGGGAGAGCTCGGGGCTCAGAGGAAAGGCCACAGGAATAGGAACTTCGTCCCCCTGGAAAGCAACAACTTCTGGGCAGAGCTCAACCACTTCACATAGATCTGGGCCCCAGGAAGAGGATTTGTTGAGAGTTGAGACCCAGCTCAATCATCAAACAGAACAAGCCAGGCATGGTGGGACAAGCTTGTGATCCAGGACTCAGGAGACAGAGGCAGGAGGATCACTGGGAGTTGGAAGCCAGCTTGGCCTACATAGTGAGAGAGATGCTGTCTTCAAACAGACACCGAATCGGACAACTTTGACAATGCACTATGGGGGAACTCAGTTCTTCCAGGGCTGGAGGCAGTCAAGCACAGGCCTGGGGACCCCGCAGCTGGAGAGTGTGGAGAGAGGAAGGGTCTCTGGTGGCTTTTTTCTTCCTGGTTTTTTGAGACAGATTTCTCTGTGTAGCCCTGGCTGTCCTAGAACTCACTCAGTAATCCAGGCTGGCCTTGAACTCAGAGATTCACTTGCCTTTTCCTCCTGAGTGCTGGAATTAAAGGT